TTCCTTAAGTTAACATCCTTGCTTTTTTTTTTCAGGTGTGGTTGCTCAGAGGAGTGAAATATGGTTTCTAGACCGCTCTCTGTGCTGGCATTTTCTGACCACAACCTTTACCTCTTACTACCGACTGATGATAACCCATCTGGGTCTGCCTGAGTGGCAGTATCACTTCACCCCATATGGCCCCAGCCCTCAGGCTAAGGTAGTCAAAGTGTCTAATCCTTTTTTTTTTTTTTCAGAATATGTGCTGTGACATAAATTGTATTTTTAATATTTATTCATATTATTAACAACATGTGAGGCCATTGCAGTTGTATGAATACATTTTATTCAGGATGATTCTTTCACAGTCTACTACAATACTGGCAAATGTAACATTTTAGTAAGTTAGCACAGCACTGAGTTTTAAGTTGCTTCCAGAGAGCATAATTATGTGCATAAGGTGCCATACATTCCACAGAATCAGATATAGCATTGCTGGCTCGGTTAGTAAATTAAGTAGTATTTTCAAAACACATTTGGTGTGGGTTTGTTTTTTTGTTTTTTTCCCCATGTGTTACATGGATTATGTTAAATTATGTATATCTTGGTTGCTGCAGCAGTGGGCATCCCTCTACCAGCCTTTGACTTTCAACTGTGAGCTCAGTTTGGCGGATCCTGCTGGGGATTTATATCTGAACAAGCTGGATCCTTCCAAGGCTTTCAAAGGCAAAGCCAAGGTCCCAGCCCCCAAGAAGAAGCAGTCGACACAGTGCAACTCAGGGGGCGCAGCCAAGGGCCAAAGCAATGCAGGAAGACAAAGTGGAGCAAAGCGGTAAGAAGGTACCCGTACGATGAAGACATTTCCAAATGTCTCCAGTTCCCTCAGGAGCTGGACTCAGTTTGTTGGACTTGGTGCTGTTTGACATGTTTGCCAAGGCTGAGTTGATATGTAGCCAGGGTTGTTGCTGGCTAGACACATTGGAAAGGTGATACAGTTATAGTACTAAAAGTGTTGAAGGCAAAAAATGTTTCTAAATTTTATATGTTTGAGGAGACGATGGCAATTTCCATCACACCTGGCTTAGATGGTTAAAAATGAATCCCCCTCACATGTAGAAAGACACAATCCTGAATTTTATCCACCTTTGGATGCCAAGTGTTGCCAGAGTAATTAGTCTTTGAATTAACAGAGAGTTGTATCAGTGTATATTCAGTACTTATAAACTCATTTAAGGTAATGTTCACTACTGACAGCTTATGGTTAAAAAAAAATCATATAAAATCAAAGTAGACAGATGTACAATATAACTGTACCACTGCTGTAACCAGAACCAGAGTTTATAAGTGCTGCTGTTTTCAGTGGGCTTGATTTCTGAATGCATTATGTAAATTCTACATGCAGCATGTAATACTGTAAAGTGCGGAAATGGCTAGATAACACATCTCTTTATATTAATAACTTTAAACTTAAGGAAACAAGAAGACTTAATGTAATGCTGTGTAGCTCACACCCTATATGTATTGATAATTGACAGGTTGAAAACTAACGTATAGGACTCAACAGATGCTTTTAGAGCTTCATTATCAAACATTAAGCCACATAAGTGTGAAGACAAACGTGACCTGTTACATTATAAAAGTACTACTAACTGGCCATTGTACTACTGCAGTGCCTCATGAATGCTGCTCTGTAATGTAAACTTCAGAAATGAACACTGTTTCTAACACAGATTATTCATCATGAGTGAATGAATATCAAAGGTATATTTTAACAGTTCAGGGCCACAGTTGTACAGCGGTTAGCACTGTCACCTCACAGCGAGGAAGGTCTCTGCGTTCAAATCCACAGAGTTTGCATGTTCTCCTGTGCCTGTGCGAGTTCTCACCAGATATTCTGGCTTCTTCCACAGACATTCACATCAGATTATCTGGTGACTCTAAACTGGCTGTAGGTTGTGAATGGTTATCTTGTGTTTGTTTCACATGATTTCTACTTTAAGTCTTCGCCACAGGTATGTCAAAACAACAAACCTCTATGAAAGCCAACAACGTAGTGCTTGCCCTAACCTGACGTGCGCTTCCCTTCATAAGCAACTATACATCGCACCAGATGGTACGTTTAGTACCACTGATTCCTCTTATGCATGTCTGGCTATGTTTTTGTGGCTGGCACTGCATCTAATAGATCAGGACATGATCACACGCACAAGCCTGAATACCCGCAACAACATCAGCCGCATACGTAGGTAACCCCTGTCGACCCTACAAAGAATCACCAGAGAAGTTTAATTCAGCTAATACCCCTGCCACAGACCCCACCTACCGATTCTAAATTGGGTAAGCGCTTAAGATAATGGCTCTTGTAACACAAATATAAAGCTCAGTAGACCCAATCTCACATCTACAGTTTTGGTTCAAGTACTTTTTAGTATGTACTTTTTGTCTGTAGGCTGCTGTGCACAAGAATGCTAGAAAGAAAAATGTCTGTATTTGGTTTTGTCGCTGTCCTTTCAAGCGGTGAGGAGTCATCTCCTACTGTGTGTTTGGTTTTCAAAAAAATATATGATCCCAGTGTATGGGGGCTGTTTGCTTCTCTTTGCATACCCTTAAGTTTTTCCACAGTTGTGGAAGTAGTCCCCTGTTGAGTGTTAAAGTGAATGATATTTATGTCTTCTAAGGTTACATAAGCTGCTATTGCGGTAATAAAAACAACATGAGTGAGCGAGTGTGGTTTTGTCAAATTTTCATCTCTAAAGTGACCGTATGTTTGTCTCAAACCTTTTTATTGTAGCGTATAGTAACGAGTACAGTGAGTCAAAATGTCTAATAGTGTAGATTTTATATGTATTGTAGTCTACCATTTACACTAACTCTAGAAGAATAATTCAGGGATGGGCAATTAATTTTCCCAAGAGACCACAATTAGGGCCTAATTGTAACATCTACTCTTACCAGTAGCAGCTTATAAAGGAATAATTAATATTGAGCAGAACTGAGTTCATCTTATTGGTCCAGCCCTCCACAACAGTCTCAGTTTCCCATGTTGCCACTTGGGAAAATTAACTGACCACACCCAATTTAAGTTGATGTTGAAATTGTGTAAAACACGGTGAGCATTTTTGATTTGAACAAATCTTTATTTCACTCCCTGTTTGCTAATCATCCTCTGTCTCCCATCTAACAAGTTAGTTTTGGGCTTTTTAACCCTTTACCTTCATTGAATGTTGCATCTTCATAGAGCTATTCACTTAGCTGTCAACTTAGCTAGGGTGTCACACACACATATTTTCAATGGTATTTATCTCTTTATCCAGAGGGACAGCTTCTTCAACCATCTCTCCACCCGCTTCAGAGAGGTGTGGGTGATGCAGTTCCACAACAGCCTTGTATAGCCCTGCTCCAAGGACTCCTCCAATAGGGGGGGCAACTAGAGGCACCCACCACCATCCGTTTCCAGCCCTACACAGATAAAGGCAGCAAACCACAAAAAAGTAAATAGTTAATTAATAATGAAAAGTAGTTGGGGGGTTTTATTCTTGACTAATCCTTGATTAAGGTGGAAAAAGCAAAAGAAAATGATATGGCCTTTTTGTGTACCTGAACACATCAGATCCCCAGCCTGCCATTGCAGTGAAAACCCTGGGTGCGATGTCTCTGGTGGGGTTGATGGCATAGCCACTGTTGCTACCCAAAGAAATGCCAATGAGAAGCACCAGGAAACCCGCAAATGCAGGCTCACTTCCTGCTGGCGCTGGTTTGTTCTTCTGGTCGGATAGAGCCATAAGGCACAGTAGTAGCATCGCTGTGCCAAATACCTTCCCCAAACACACACATAGAACAAAAACATCAGTCTGGAAAGATAACCGTGTAGAAAGCCATCTAGTAAAGGAAATCATTCATGCTGATTATGTCTGATGATGGAGAGTTGTAACTATGAAGCTTTAGTTGACTTTCAGTGCTACCTGGTCAAAAAATCCAGCTATCAGAGAGAGGTATGGAGCAGGATAGGTGGCAAAGATACCAGCAGTGGCCTTCTCACCAGTCACAGTCAGGTTTCCTCTACAGTAGTCATAAATGGCTTCTGCAAACGTATCAAACAGATAAATCGTGATAGTTGTGTGACTCCAAGAAATCGCAGCAATACTTCAGTAACAGTGCCTCCAGATCTGTATGAGTTGTTTTCCATGTGGTTTTTATAATACTTTTTCTAGGACGTTTGCCGCTTAGGACACGTGATGGTGCAGTACAGCATGGTGGGCCTCTTCATAATGTGTTCCACATGTGTAGATGCAGAAAAACATCAGATAAGCTTTCAATTTAAATCATGCATGGGCCGATTTCCTGAGACTTTGCTTCTTTGTTTTTGAACCTTCAAGTGACCTAGATACCTATTTTTTCTTTTTTAACACATACTGTTGCGTTTCCTCACCATAGTAGACAGCATAAATTGTCCCTGCTGCAAGAAATGACCCCAATAGCTGTGCCGAAATATAAAGAGGTAGCATCTTCCACGGGAGGCGGCGAAACACACACATTGTGAATGATACAGCGCCATTCATATGAGCCCCTGAAACAGATCAAAAGAGCAAAATATGACTGCTGAACAACAATTGGAAAGCATTTCATAGGTTTTGATGTCATCATCTTTCATACCTGAGATCTTCCCTCCAACATGAGACCCCATGGCAACAGCCAGTCCAAAACCCAGGTTGATGCTGAGGTACTGTCCAAAAGCTCCCTGACCAGTCACTACCTGGGCCACAGACCCCAAGCCCAATGACTGGAGACAAAGAGAACCCATATATCATTTATGCAGTCAAACATAGAAACAGATTACAAGAAATACTTTCCAGGAAGCTTATTTCACAATATAAGAAATGTTTGAGGCAAACTGTGATTAAGTGCTGGCAGCCAGATTCTTTTGTAATCGACAATAGCAGTTTCTCACTGTAAAAAATCTTATAGTGTAACACTGTCAGCTGTTTGGTTGCTATTATTCTGCCACTTTAAATCTAATAGTAATGATTGTAAAACACCTGTAAAATATCTCAATTTACTGTAAATATTTGGCTGTAAAAACAAACTCATCCTGAGCTCCTTGTCTTTTTGACATATGACAAGATATCAGCTCATCACATGATTCTCCTACTCCTTGCACTGCAGATTTATATGAATGTCAGTTTATCAGCCACCACTACACTGAATGCTGCCAGGATGCGAGGAGTTGGACCACAGTTACAGTCTTGAAGCAACATAAACATAATTTCCTGTACAACTTTTCCCTCTCCAGCAATGGAATTGTCTAACAAAATATTTTTAAAAATCCTGTGCACCAGCTTGATATGATGTAGGGAAAGCCACTCAACAAATATATAGTGTGCATCCAGAAAGTATTCACAGCCTTTGCAAAATATTTTGTTGAAGCACCTTTGGCTGCAATTACAGCCTCAAGCCTTTTGTTTTTGGTGAACCAGCACTCCTTATTCAACTTGGTGGAGCTTGAGATGCTCTACAGTCATTTTCAGACAGGTTCCTTTCCTCTGGCTGGGCTGCTTAAGGACATTTGCAGAGCTGTGCCAAAGCCGCTTCTTTTGTCATCTTGGCTTTGTGCTTAGGGTCGTTGCCCTGCTGGAAGAGAGCTGCTTCGCCCAATCCAGTCCAGAGCTCTTGGGAGCACATTATCATCCAGGATGTCTCTGTATATTGCACATTCATTCATTCAAGTTCCTGCTGCTGAAAAACATCCCACAGCATGATGCTGCCACCATTTTACTACTGAGTTCAAATTTTATTTCATCAGACCAGAGGATTTGGTTTCTCATGGTATGAGAGTCCTTCAGGTGCTTTTTGGTATATCCCAGGTGGGCTGTCATTTGACTTTTACTGAGAAGTAGCTTCTGTCTGGTTACTACCACACTGGCCTGATTGGTGAAGTGCTACAGAAATGGTTGTACTTCTGGAAGGTTTTCCTCTCTCTACAGAGCAACACTGGAGCTCTGTCAGAGTGACCATTGGGTTCTTCATTAGCTTCCTAACTATGGCTATTCCAAAATGGAATAACCTGGAGCCAGATAATTGAGGCTCTGTGCCTTGAAACTGTCCTGTCTCAGAGGTCTCCAGACAATTTCTTGGACATCATGGCTTGGTTTTTGCTCTGACATGCACTGTCAGCTGTGGGACATCATACAAACAGGTGTGTGCCTCTCCAAATCACATCCAGTTGGCTGACTTTACCACAGGTGGAAGTTGTCGAAACACCAGTGGAACATCAGAGGCTCAGTGGACACTCAATTTTGAGTGTCACAACAAAATGTGGTGAATACTTATGTACATGTTATAGTTTTGCTTTTTTATTTTTATATCTATTTATAAACATTTCAATATTTTTTTACCTTTGTCATTATGAAGTATTGTGTTTAGAATTTTTTAGGTGAAAAATGAATTGAATCCATTTTGAAATATCACTGTAACATGACAAAAATGTGGAAGTGTTGTGAATACTTTCTGGATGTAAACAAGAAGCACTCTGAGAGTTTAAACCTCCACAACGCAGCTCACTCTCTGGACAGAATTTACTTTTAAGAGAATGGTATAATTCAGTTTATTTTCTTTGTTCGCACACATTTTTGTTCTCACATGTTTTAAATCTGTATACGGTACTACGATACTATATGTTCACAATACACATCACACTTGTAAGCGTCATAGTTTCTAAGTTATAAGGTTTTTTTGTAACTTTTCAACCGATGAATAATTTAAGTCTCCTAGAAGGCTTTAGTGAATGTAAGCCAAATTTTAATGGCATGTTAACATGACCTTATCTACACGCCTAGAAAGTGTTATCAGAATTGAGCTGTCTTGCTTATAGACAGATTGACACGCACCCAAATGCTACCAAAAGAATAACCTCTCTGATGGAGGTAAGTAGCAAAAAGTTACGTTTTTTGGGAGGTTTTTTTTGTTTGTTTGTTTTAATTATTTCTAGAAGTACCTTCGTTTTAAACATACTGTATAAGTAACATTTTCTTTCTTACTTAAAAGTTAAAAGGCTCAGTTGCACAATTAATTTTCATTTTAATTATGGTACTGCACAAATGTAAAAGACACCACACTACTGAATTATCTTGCTTTTAACTCAAGCAGCTATGTTATCAGGGTAAAAAAAATGCTGACACTGAAAAACTCTAGCCATTCTATCAGGAAACAGGAAAAGTCTGGTTCCCCCAACAAAGTCACGAGTATTTTGTTTCTGTCAGGATTCCAAATCACAAACACAGTAAGTGCAATTCTTTTGTGCTCACATTCAGGCATTTACGCTTCCCATGTTCATCATGTTATAACTGCATGTGTTTTTCTTCCAGGCTTCTAAGTAAAAGGTTTATTGTAACAGCTGACAGCTGACGTGTGACTTCTGGAAACCTCTTCAGCTGGCTTGCTGCCTGACTATTACTCTATAATAATACTAGACTCTCAGGTTCATTCACTGAACCTGACAATGTGACTGTTAATAGTGCTTATGTGTGTGTGTGTATTTGGGAGAATGTTGCAACTTATCAGGATAAAGAGCACAACATTAATGATTAATAGCATATGGGTGCTACAGATAAGCAATTAGATTCTAAACAGAAAGAAGACCCGATAAATGAAAAGTCAAAATGTCAGCGGAATCATGGATTTGAGAGGTGCTTTTACAGTTTTTAATGAGATATTACATATTATTATTTGAAAGCATATGACACTTCAGAAATCTTGTGATAATACTGTATTCTTACCATCATGACATATGTGCTAAGTGATTCAGCAAGTCCCACACGAATGAGTTCATTCTTTAGCCAAACTTTGGATCGAGTTACTTTACCTCCCCTCTGCTGAAACACCCTGGGTTTTACTGACTGCACCAAGTCCTTCATTTCTTCTTCTTCTGCTTTTTCTTCCTCTTCTTCTTTCCTTCCAACCTCAGGACTTTTTTTTTACCCTTTTTGAATGAGAAAAAAAAAACTACACATTCAGCCTTGGTTGAAAAATTTATGAAGTGACTGGCACACAGTACTTTGCAAACAAGACCAACTTTTTGTCTCCTGACCTCAAAAGTTCCCCTTTTTCCACTCACTTACCTAATTGTGTTTCTCAGTCTCTCTTTGTCACTCACATCCAATGGAAGTTGTCCACAATTTAAAGGCTTCAACACACTCTCACCCACCTCCACCCCCTTCTTCTCTCCCCTCCTCCTGGAAATGGCCAAAGATACAGTGACACACACCCTGCTGTGCTTGATTATCTGTCAAATTTGTCATAATAAAAACACTTTAAATACATCTGTGGAGTACTTTATTCAGAACTGAAACTCATTACAAGTTAACTTACTAAAAGGCTGAATAAGATGTTTTTATATTTTTTTTTATATTATTATTTATGGCTTTTACAGCAACAAAAAGCTACCTTGAAATTATTATGTAGACTTTTTTTAATTGTTCCATGTTGTTTTGTGCACATGTTCTGTATACTTCTGATTATATGAAATGCACTTTACATCTACACTTACACTTCGCACCTTACATTACTGAAGTGGGGTCAAAACAGCATCAACTATTGGTTGAAGCAAGGCTGCTACAGTAACACACTATCTGGACTTCACAGTAGCATTACAAAGTCCATACATGCTTTTTCTCTCCTAAATAAGCAAAAGAAACACAACAACAAAAACTGAAAAGTAGATTACGATGGCTACAACTTTGGAAGTTTGTAGGTGATAAAAGTTGATCAATACACACAAACAATTTCCAGCTGCAAAATCTGATTTTCACCAATACTGGTTACTTCAGTATAAATGTCGTATTTATTGATTTCAGCTGTTTCAGATTTGTTTATTTTATTGATCGCACAAAAAAGGGCAATTCAGCGCACAGCTTGCTCACACAGTCATAAACAACCTAACCAAACCTGAGTCTGTAGTAAATGACGTGACAGTGTGGACTGCCATGAAATTTTATGTTCATGTTCCCTGAAAAGTTAATTGTAATGTCTTTGATCTTTGAAAATAATGCTACGTTTGTTCAATCTTAGTATGCTTAAATGTGCACTCAGCATGACTAATGATGTTTATAGTTTAGGGCTGCAATGATTCATTGCATAATTCAAATAACTCAATGATAAAAAATGTAAAAAAAAAAAAAGTCCTCGAGGCAAATTTTTCGACGCTTCGTTTAAATTCTATATAAACGTTTCACCCACATTTGGGAATAAAATAGACCTGCGATAAACACGTATTTAGGAGCATGTATGTGAATACAAATTTTGACAACAATAAGCCCAGGCAGGCCCTGGTTTTTAAAAAGAAATACTGATAATATGCAGATGAACTGTTAATTTAGTCTGATACCATGATTAAATTAGCCCACTTTCTATCACTGTGGCCCGTGACACCAGCAACAAACAGCAGTGAGTCTAAAGGGGGGCATGGGTTGTCTGCAGATTGTGTCAGAGCTCTGTGTGCGGGCAGGCGGAAACCATAGCTTTATTGCTGGCGATAAACAAAACATGAACTGAAAAACAGACCGCTGAAAACAGAAACACACAGGCACAATTTGAGGGTACGACGCGGCAGAGAGCAAAGGTAAACACAGGGGAGTAATCAGGGAGTGGAAAACAGGAGGGAGACGCAGCTGGGAGGAATTAGGGCTAACGAGACGGGGAGCGAAGCTAGACACACTGACATCAGCCATAACCCTTCAAAATAAAACAGGAAACAATTCACAAAGACACAGACTAAGAAATGCAGACTTACACAGAGGGAACACACGGGCAGAAAAAACTCAGCACAGAACTAAACCTAAACTAAACATGAGAGCATAAGAACTAAACCCTAAACTGGAATAAGCTGGAACATAGAATAATAATAATAATCAACACAGGATAGCTAAAGAATCAGAACATAAATTATAATACAGAAGAATACCAAAAACATAAGAAACAGAAAATGCTGGATCAGAATGACCCAGAACCGGGACAGATTGTTCAAAATGCTGCTGCTAGGCTTCTGACCAAAACATCTAAGTACTCACATGTGACCCACTTATTATTTAGCATACAAGGCTGAGACCTAAGGGAGACAGAGCTGTTGCCACTGTGTCTCCTTGACTGTGCAACTCTCTCCCACTGAGCATAAGATCTGTGAACTCAGTAGTCTCTTTTAAACAACAACTAAAAACACATCTTTTTAGAATTGCATTGCATTAACTTTTGTCTGTTTTTGTTTTATAATTCGTTATGTCTGTGTGAAGCACTTTGTGATCTTTTATCCATAATTTCACGGTCTGGCTGGCAGAACGTGGGGATATGGGGGAATGAGGACCCAGAACGCATGGTTCTGCGATTCAAACAGTGCACTTTATTTACAGTGAAGGCTGTAAACACAATAACTCCCCGTTGCTCCCTTGAATCCCGTGTGTGTGCTCCCCACTGTTGTGTTCTCGCACACCCTGTGTGTGCTGCCATTCTGGTCCACTCTTCCACCTGGGGGGAAAACCACAAAAACAGCCATCAACACCAACCCCAGCGGGCATACACGAACTGCACCGTCGTACGCTGACACACACTAACTTGGGTAGACAACTCAATGATCCCACACCGGTGGGAGCTCCAACACTCTCCTAAGTAGCTCCCCCGACGAGCCCTGACCACCAACAGATGTGTGGCAGGAACTTCAGGTGTGGCCAGTCCTCTTGCAGGGCCACACCCATCAGGCCTGCAGGCTGTTCTCCATCCTCCAGCCACACATGTACACACCCACACCCTGCCTCTACATATAATGAGTGGAACACCGAACAACACAGAATAGTACAGAAAAACACACATCCCCAAATAACAACACTACTACTACTACTACTAATAATAATAATAATAATAATAATAATAACGATAATAACAGTCCATCCTGCTTAAGGACCCCCCGAGTCCTCCAGAGCCGGGTCCATGACACATAAAGGTGCTATATAAATAAAACTTTACTTACTTACTTAGTAGACCCTGTACTTGACTGTACTTGAGATTATTTATTTCATTTGGAATTTAAGAACATTTTTTCTTTAAAAAAATTAATTTGACAGATGTTGTTTAAGCAGTTAAACTTTAAAAAATGCAATTCCTAAAATAGAAACCAATGAGTAGTTCATTCTGAAAGACCTATTTTTCTCTTTTGAATATTTATTATTGCACATTAATAAAACAAAGGCATTTTCTTATCAGATTCCTCGATTAATCAATGGAATAATTGCTAGAATACTCGATTACTAAAATAATTAATGGCTACAGTGGCACTGAGAGGCCAAACAGAATGCAACTTAAGAAAACACCAGCATATATTTTGAGGTAAGTTGATTTATAGTGTTATATCATATTTTATAAGGATTTTATGTGTTTGTATCATCTCTGTTCACTCCTGTCAGACTCATTTAGCAAAAATCATCCTGTTTAAGGTTCAGTTTTCCTCCGTTCTATATGAATTAAGACAGTTATGATATGGCATGATTATACTCACAAATTAAAGGAATATTTAATATACCAGTCTACTTATTTTATCAGAAACATGCAATTTACAGCTTTGTTAATTGGATGGTTGCCGGTTCGAGCCCCGGCTCCGACAGTCTCGGTCGTTGTGTTCTTGGGCAAAACACTTCACCCATTGCCAAACTGGTGGTGGTCAGAGGGCCCGGTGGCGCCAGTGTCCAGCAGCCTCGCCTCTGTCAGTGCGCCTCAGGGCTGTGGCTACAATGTAGCTTGCCATCACCAGTGTGTGAATGTGTGTGTGAATGGGTGGATGACTGAATGTAGTATAAAGCGCGTTGGGGTCCTTAGGGACTAAGTAAAGCTCTATACAAATACAGGCCATTTACCATTTACTTGGCATGTGTGTTAAACTAAAGCATCACACAGTATCAAGGGAAGTAGGGAGTAAATTTAAAAGAAAAGGCTGTTTTTGCTATTATCTATTGTTTGCTGTTGTTCCTAGGGTAATTTACTCTTGGCATCCTGAGGGAGTTTATGCAGTTGGTAGTCTATGGCTGTTAAATATTTCAGTAGGATGAGGGTTAAATTGTAACTTTAGTTACTTTGTGTTCTGTTGTATTGTGTGTGCTTTTGCGCTATTTTTCTATTTGCTTATGTTTTCTTAGGTTGCAGTCTGTTTGGCCTCTCAGGGCCACAGTATTTTTCCTCCAAGCTTGACTCTCGACTCATGCCTGCGAAGTTTGGGAGAGATTGGACATTGTGTTTTCGAGTGACAGCAGATTACTGCTTTTTGGCGAGTGATTGAAACTCCAAATGCTAACTCCCTAAACGTAAAATGCTTCACAATTTAACATCACAAAGGTGTTTAGATTCCATGCTTCCACTGGAGATCGTGTCGCTCTGATGAAATCCCTTGGAGGAGTTCGTCAAAGTATGAGGCCTGAAAAGAGGGGAAAATGTCGCCAAAATTACACATTAATTTTAAAATGCCTGACTTCCTGTTGGATTTGGGATATTGCTCCAAGAGACTTTTTTGTACATCTTGGTACCCTACATAAGCTTACCAGGTTTCAGACTCATAGATGAAACAAGGAGCAGGGGCTGATGTTTTTTAATTTTGCAGGGGGCGCTGTGGAGCCATTTTGCAATATTCCATGAAAATGACTAGAAAACCCTCATCACATTGGAGGTGTGGGCCAAATGTCAAGAGTTTTTAAACTTTCCAAGCCCCTCAACAGCCACTTCATCTTTCATGGTGAACCGCCTTGCCACCAGGGTGTGCTGTTCAGTTTAAACTCACAATTTTTGTCACTGAAGCATCATGAGGGACTGTTAATATTCCCCGCTTTTGAGGTGGACCTGATGAACCTGTGAAAATCAGTATATCAAAGTGAAAGACATGACATCTCCTGTTCCCACTAGGTGGTGCTCTGCGTATTCCTGACAATGG